TGAAAACTGTTGTTGCCTCTGAAGCATTTGCTCCAGAGTTTTAAATCTTTAAGATCCCTTTCCTGTTTTTCTTTTCAACCTACACTGATTAGAGAATCCTGAAGTCGGGCGGCAATGTGCTGCAGTAGGAAAGTTTTAGCTGGAGGAGGTTTTGATTGTGATCGCTCGCTCTGTAGTTCGTGTCCAAATACCTGCCCCACGTGCCTCTGCGCGGCAATTAGAAACTACTGCGCGGGGAATTGCAGTTATGTGCGCGGCCGCGCAGGCGCGCACCTTAGAGGGAACAGTGATGGTGATGGAACACCCTGTTGCTAAATGCAACAGGCAATAGCAAATTAGCCGACCTCGCAGCAGGTCTGAAGTTGGGGGGGAGTGGGATCAAAACTCCAGGCAGGGCTCTCTGACTGTTCTAATTCCCCGTGAAAACTGTTGTTGCCTCTGAAGCATTTGCTCCAGTGTTTTAAATCTTTAAGATCCCTTTCCCGTTTTTCTTTTCAACCTACACTGATTAGAGAATCCTGAAGTCGGGCGGCAATGTACTGCAGTAGAAAAGGTTTAGCTGGAGGAGGTTTTGATTGCGATCGCTCTGTAGTTCGTGTCCAGAATACCTGCCCCACGTGCCTCTGCGCGGCAATTAGAAACTACTGCGCGGGGAATTGCAGCCATGTGCGCGGCCGCGCAGGCGCGCACCTTAGAGGGAACAGTGCTTACCATATAACCACTCATTATATTGTGCAAGGCCACCACCACCACCCCCCAACCAACCTGCAGTCCATTTTTGGCTGGCAGAATGCTGGAGGAGGCCTTGGAAGCCGAAAAGGGCTGCGTGCCAGCCTGTTTTCAGCTGGCAGAGGTATAGCAGGCTGATGCTTTGATATTTCCAGTGGGCCAGATCTAAGTAGCCCTCAGGCCGGATTCAGTCCTCAGGCCTTGAGTTTGACACCCCTGGTCTAAACTGAAGGCAAGTTATTGGTCTAAATTTGAAACAAAATACTTTCAAAGTAAGTCTAAATGCAATAATAATTTTTGTTGTTGTTCAGTCGCTAAGTCATGTCTGACTCTTTGAGACTCATGGAACATGCAAAATACAAACCCAGCTGAGTATTGTATATTCATTAACCCTATGTTAAGGAAACACTGGTCTAATATTTTGGCCATTACAAAGAATGCCCTTCTCTTAAATGGTCTTTATTTCTTTTCTTTCGAATCAAATCTTCAATCTCCGGTCAAAAAAGGAACAGTCAATAAGTAAGTTGAGGACTGCCTGTATAAAAATTCACTTCTTATGAGTGGTCTGTGTCTTCCTCAATCTCAGGTCCTCTACCAGAGAGGTCTGGGCATTTGAGGGTTCTGCTCACCTTTTCCTAGCACTGCACTTTTCTGGACAGACAGCTCTGACACCATTCCTGGGATTTGTTGGAGCCACTCCCCAAAAGTCACAATCCTGAGTATTCCTACTATCACTGGGACCGCTTTATTTTTCAGTTCCCCCTTCAGGCCCTGGCACTTCTCCAGTTTCGCAAACTCCTTCTTCCTGGCACTTCTATGTCTATCACCACTACTGCCTTCTGGTCCTTTTTCTATTACCACAATGTCTGGTTCAGTGGTGGGTTCCTAACCGGTTTATTACTGGTTTGCTGAGTGTGCGCTTTGCGCAATTAAACTAAAATTAATCAGAAAAAAAGGGAAAACAGCTGAAGAGCAGCAATTCAAGCTACCACCTCAGATCAGCTGGGCTTTGGAAGCTTGAATACAGGTAAGTATAAACCAGGGGCGGGTGGGCCCTCTTTTAATAAAAACAGGGAACCAGTTCGCTCTCTGTTTGAAGGCACCACTACCAGTTCGGGAGAACCGGATAGAACCGATAGGAATCCACCTCTGCTCTGGTTGATTGGCCAGTACTGCCTGTCTATCTGGATATGGAAGTCCCATAGGATCTTAGCTTTCTTATTCTCTATAACCTTTTGTGAGATCTCCCATCTAGACCTAGGAGAGTCTGACCCATATTTTGTACAGATGTTCTTATATGCAGTGCCAGCTACTTGGTGGTGGCATTTAGTGTATGCTGTTGTGCCGTTCAGTGTATGCTGCTCCTGCCTGCATCTTATACCCTGCCATGTGTTGGACTATTTCTGTTGCCTCTCTGCATAGCCTGGACCTTGGATCCTGCCTAGTGTGGTAGATCTCTGCTTCCATGGAGCTGGTCCTTAGTGCTTGTTCTTGTGCTGCTACAGTCAATGCCTCAGTGCTGTCTTCTAGTCCAACCTTTTTCAGCAACTGGTAGGATTTCCCAATGTCTGCTACCTCAGCTATCTGTTGATGGTACATCTCACAGAGAATCATGTCTTGCCATGTCACTTCTTCTGCTTGATCTTCCTCCCACATCTGCTGCTGCCTCAGGTATTCTCTCAGCAGCTAATCTTTGGGTGCCATCTTACTGACACTGCTAGATAGCTGATCATCTTTGATTTGGACTCTCTAGCACAAGTTATCTAATAAATCAAAGGAAATACAAAACAGCCATTTCCCAATGATGGCAGGAAATCAGACCAGTGACATTGTCTCCAATAGTAATTACAGAGAGTCCAGACAGATGTTGCAATTATAGCGAAAATAAGCAGCTACTGTATTGACCAATTAAAGAAAAATAGACATACATTTACCTGCCATATGTTCTCAGGGCTTTCCCTTCCGGTACTGAAGTAGAGTTTATTTCCCAAGGAAAGTGATATGTTCCAGCATCTGGAAGCATTGTGTAGAATGGCTTGCAAAAGCAGATCCTGTTGTCAAACAAGATGAAAGAACTTTCTATTTTCAGAGATCTTTTTCTGCTCTCAATATTTATCCTGTTATAAAACTAAGCAGCTTTTTAGAGCATCTTCCTTACTAAAACATATGTTTAATCAGAAACTATAATTTAATAACCCTAATCAACCACTATAGACTTTCTGTTACTTTTCTGAAGCTGCTGGTCCCATTATTTTTGCTTTTCTCTGACTCCCAGTTTTCTTTTTTCCCTGGACTTTTCTTTTTTCCCTGTTCTCTTTCCAAGTTTGGCTGATTAAGAAAAGAGAATCCTGCTTGATCTGCCATAGATTCAAATAACAGCCAGTCTGAAACCTAACAGCACTCTTAACTTTAAGAACCAGTTTGGTCTAACAGTTATGGCACCAGGCTATAAAGCAGGAGATCAAGAGTTCAAATCTAGCTTTAACCATGAAAGCCAGCTGGGTGACTTTGGGTCAGTCACTGTCTCTCAGCCCAACCCACCTCACAGGGTTGTTGTTGTTGGGGAAATAGGAGGATGAGAAGGAAGGTGTGTTAGATATGTTCAGCTCCTTGAGTTATTTGTAAAACGAACAAAGGCAGGATACAAATAAAATAAATAAACCCATGGGGGGGGGAGCTTAACTTTAGTTCCCTCGAGTTAATCTTTTGTTTACACTCTCGAAAGTTACAAAAACTCTTCCCACAGATATATTTTTTTCTGTCAATAACCAGGCAGATTACACAACGTGATGCAGAGCGAAACTTTTGGGTGGCAACCAATAGTTCGGACTGTATGCAAACAGATACCTGGATGGAAAACAGGGTGCAATTCCAGGAACCAGAATTTTCACAAGGGCGCCCGGTGGATCGATGGTGCAAATTAAGCATTGGCATAAAACCATCAGCGTCTCTCTCTCCTCCCCACCCTCCGCTCCTCCCGCCTCCTCCGTTTCCTCCTAGCAATGAATGGAAAAACCTTCCTAGTTCGAGGGGACCCCTCCCCTCCTGGAAGCTCCGCAGATGCCAGATAAAAAAACGCCTCCGCGGAGTCACGCGGGTGCTAAACGGCTTCCTATTGGGCCTACGAGTCGTCACGGGGCGGGACGGGGCGAAGGCTACCTTTCTCCTGGTCCGGAAGCTTTTCCGAAGAGGAGTCGCTCGGCGGTTGTTTCACGGGCTGGTGGCGGAGGATTTCCCCGGCCGCGAAGATGAACGCGGATCTGCGGAAAGAGCGAGAGGCGGCTTCCTTCAAGGTGGAGCTGCTGACTAACCTCTTGGACGGGGGCGCCGACCGGACCTTGCGCCGCAAGAAAATTGGTGAGAGCGGGCGGGATATTGGGATGGGATGCAGAGAAAGCCGCCCCTTGTACCGGGGGTGGAGTGGGGGGCGTCTTTCCGCTGCCTGCCCCAAGTAGAGACGAGGGCTGCAAAGGCGGATCCGTTGCCCTTCGAGAACTTTACCGGCGTTTTATCGATTAAAAGTGCCCGTTTGCATCTGGACAAGGACCGCTTTGAATGGGAACGCCTTCTTTCCCCCCAAATTTTGGACGATGCTCGCAAGCGGTGTCTCAGGATGCATTTTAGAAAAGAGGCATTCCCACCCAGGTAGCCTCCCCACCCCAAAAAAAGCATGTTTCTGTCAAGTTACACAAGATGTTTTGGGATGCCTAAAGCCTAATTTACTTGATGCCTATCTGATGCCTTAAAGCAGCGGTTCTCAACCTGTGGGTCAAGACCCCTTTGGGGGTCGAACGACCCTTTCACAGGGGTCACCTAAGACCATTGGAAAACATATTTTTGAAAAAAAATACGGAAAACATAAAATAATTTTATTGTTGGGGGTCACCACAACACGAGGAACTGTATTAAAGGAGTCACGGCATTAAGAAGGTTGAGACCCACTGCCTTAAAGGATTGATCTAACTAGGACACCAAGTAGATGTTGCTGGCTATAGGCTTCACACTCAGGTCAGATTTCAACCATAAATCTTTCAGACAATATACTTCATTCTCCTAACCTTTAAAATGGGAGACCTAAAGAACTGCTTCAGGGTAACACAACACAGGGAAATTCCACAGCTGAAAGATGCTATGAAAAGAGATGGCTTTTAAGAATAAAGTAACTGTTGCATCCTGCTGTCAAATTTTCCTTTCTTGTATTCAATTAATTAACCTGTATCATCTAACCTGTGGGAAACTATGACATGCTTGAAATCCATATCAAATAACATTTCCCCCCAAGGATAGGACAGTAACTCATTTGTGTTGGTTGTACTTTTCTAGATTTTATGAATGCAGCTTTATGTTAATTATGATTGGTATTAAATTATAAAAGTGGTTACCAGAATGACAGCTGCATCTGTTCTGTCTAACAGATTTGTTTAAATAAGAAACATGATCTTATTTAGCAGGATATGGTCTTATATCTTTTTGAAGAAAACTCTGAACAATGAATATCTCTTCTTCCCATATAGAAGCTATTATTGCAAATGATCCCAGCTTCCACCACGAAGATGTAAATTTTCTCTCCCGCAGTGAACGCTATGAAGTAGCTATCAAAAAGAGTGCTCTTATGGTGCTGAAATTAAGAGAATATGGGATTGCAGACCCTGAAGAGATCTACTGGTTTAAAAGGTATTTGTGCTCATTATTGGGTACTTTAAAAAGCATAAGAGTTGTCCTATAAATATAAGGAAGGGTCATACTTAATTTCAAAAGACTCCTACATGGGACTTTTAAATATACTCATTAGAAGTCTTCAATTAGCAAAGCTTCCCTAAACATAGTTTTCTGGAAAGCCTATGCAACCCAGTTCCTTTTATTGTAGCAGCGGAAATTAGATATATGTACTGTAGCATTCAGGAAGGCTGGGAGCATCGTTACATTTTAACCAGGCAAGATAATGTTGCTTTCTTTTAAAGTACTTCATGTCAGCTCAGGACAGTGATACATTCACATTAATAACAGTTCTTTATTTTGTTTTCTCCTCTGTCGCTTTTGTTTTTCTACCCTTTAATATTGCATCACAGAAAACTTCCAATGTTGAAATAGTCTTGCTACTTTAAGCTCCTTGATTTTCCATTCTGCTCTGGTAGAGACCAGTAGAAGTAACTGGTAGAATGAACTTGATAGCAAAGATAATGTTGGAAGCTATTCATCCAGTTCTGACCCTAATTGCTGATCTTTGAGTCCTTGGTTTAATAATTGTTTGGAACAGGTCATTGGATTGCATCTAATCATGTTCAAGGATAAACATTTCTCAGTGGGTGGAGCACTTCCTTCAAATCTTACTGGATATAATAAACTTACATTGGCTAGGTTGAACAGATCTATCCCCAGATAATAGAAGCCTATGTGTATTTTTCTGGGACTAATTTACAGGTAGTCCTTGAATTATGAACACAATCAAGCACAAAATTAATGTTACTAAGCAAGACAGTTGTTAAGTGAGTTTTGCCCCATTTTATGGCCTTTCTTGCCATAGTTGTTAATTGAATTAATGCAGTTAATTTAATAACATGGTTGTTAAGTGAAAATCTAGCTTCCCCATTTACTTTTCTTGTCAGAAAGTTGCAAAAGGAGATCGATCACGTGACTTCCATTTATTGTCGGGGGGGCAGAAACAGTTTTAAGGGTGGTTTCGGTGGTGAGAGCTTGCTACCATTTATAACAAGGATGGAAAGTTGGGCAGCATATCGAATTTTTCTCTGTTTATAATCTTTTTATGAAGGATAGATTTGCTATTATGTTGCATGACAATCATAACTCAGTTCTTTGATGCAACAACCTACAGTTTCCAAAAGCAACCGTTCTTTTGATATAAAGCAGCAATCACTGATGCTTGTAGCAAGTGGTACTGTTCCAAAGGATTAAATCGTTCCATTTTGGGCCTACAGGGGTTCTCATAAAATGTGAGCTTGCTGACCAGTGCAAAGCATGGGGATCAAATTATTCTACAGAAAGACCTGCACTGATTGTGAATTGCCTACCGGGCACAATTTATATCCTGATATTGATCTTTAAAGCCTTAAATGATTTCCTTATCTGGAGGGAGCTCCCTTATCCACTAGGAATCCACCTGGTTATTTAGATTAGTAGGAGAGGCCCTGTTGAATATAAGCTGCTCATAGAGGATATCCTGTCTGCTGGAGGTAGGGGTAGAACTTTCTTCTGTATGGTTCTCAGGCTAATGGATGTTACTGTAGTGTTTGGTTCCCACTTTCCTGATTTAAAGAAAAATAACAAAACCATATTTCTTTTAATCAGCTTTTAATCATTAATTTACTTTAATTGAATTAGTGGTACTGTTATATTCCAAAGCGGCCTTGTGAATTTATACATAGAAAAATGGGAAATGAGCCATACAAAGAAGTGCTCTGTTTATCTTGTCTATTGAGCAAATTCTGTTGCTGGCACAGCTGTCTTTTTTTTTTAATGGCAGCAAATCTGAGTGTGGCATTTAGCGAGCTCAATTCTTTTAGCATTTGTATCTTTCTGATCTAGACTTCCACTCCTATTTCTTAATTTCACATTTAGGTTTACCCTACATTCTCCTACTGTTTTCTCAATGTAAGGTTGAAGCGAATTAGTAGAAGAAGTGAAAGGCTATTCCTTTTGTTGTTTGTGGATAAAAATGGCATAATAAACAGGCTCGCATTGAAAATAAAACAAGACAAGTGGAATATGAATACCTACCACATGATAGGGTAAAGAAAAAACTTACTGAATAGACATATCTTGTTGCTATTTTTTCATGCAGAGTATGTCCCTGAAAATTTGTGGTATAGGCTCAGGATTTAGGTTTTGAGGATTACAATAATTTTGTTATGGTAGAAATGGCTTGAAATGTGAAATGTAAAGCAAAATACTTTTTTTGTATTTACTGCATTGAAAAAAGTAGAAAATCACCACTTTTTTCTCTCTCTTTGCATTTCTTTCTGTCTTAGTTTTTTAATTTTTGTTTTTTCCCCCTGTATTTTTATCTTATAGCGGGGGTGTGTGTGTCAAACTTAAGGCCCGTGGGCCAGATGCGTCACACACTGGCTACCCCTGTTGGGCGGGGGGAAGTCACAATACATCACATGACAGCACTGTGATGCTGCGAGTTTGACACCCATGTCTTATAGAGAAACTTAACAAAATAATGTATGTTTTAAAAAGGGATTATTTGCCATTTAGCTGTTAATTGTCCCACGTCCCAGGAGTAGGAGTGTTACTTTACATTGATAGTTTCTTCCATATTTTACACTGGCATGCCTTAATAACAAATACTGATAGGAAAAAATAAGAGGCAAACTATGTCAGAAAGTGACTATGGGCTCTTCTGCCACTGTACTGTTGGCAACCGCAAATTGGATTAGATCCAGCTAAGTGGTAATTATTGTGCTTTTAAGGAAAAATCTCTGTAAGTAAAACCAGGTGATTCTGCCTATAACAGTGGTACTCGCCTCAACATCTTTAAGATGGGTTTCAACTCTCAGAATCCCCCAGCTTTTCTGCAGAAGCTCATATATCTTAAAGCTGATAAGATTGAGAAACACTGGCGTATAAGTACACATATACACAAACCCACCCACGCAGTGTGATGGTGTGTATAGCTAATCTAACAGGTTTTGTGATCCGAAGTGCTATTAAGAGAATTACTAATTGGATGGCTCCAGTGTTGCAGCACAGCATAGAGCAAATCTATTTTTTTAAACTCTGTACAAAGGCTGTTTGGCTAGGTCACCTCTTGAGCTTCACTGCTTTAGGAAATGTGTCAAAAGCTTTTCAGAAGATTATGTACCTGTGCCCTTTCACACCAAGATAAAGTGGTTGGCTGGTAAATGACTTTGAAAAACTTCATTGCTACAGCCATCTGTTGATACACATGAGGCAAAAAAAAAAAGATTTTGGCTTATTGCATCACAAGATCTTCCAGTTGTTCCCACAGAGCTAAACCACCGTGCTGGTTTTTGTACAAAGTGTTGTAACTGAGTGGGTGACTTGATTTAAAAAAAATCTAAGACAGCAGTGTTCAATCAGAATAAGCAAGAAAAGAAAGAAATTTATTCATAACAAACTTATGTGTTCTTGAACACCCTTTCTTGCAATGAAAATTCATCTTAGAAAGATTTAAAGGAACAACAGATGGAAAGAAAAGTTCCTGTTCTGATCTAAGCTTCCTGAGACAGTAAAAATCACACTCTTAGTCCCAAAAACACTTTTTATTTAAACGGCTGTGAATTATGTTCATTCACAGCCCATAATGAGTCACAAACAGTTTGTGAAGAGTTCAACAGAAGTCTGCCAGTCTTTCAGGGCAATGCTGATAAGCACCCACCTTTATCTCCCTTGAAACACTTCCAGAGACCTAATTGGCAATTAGTTTTGCAAGGCCAAATGGAGCAAAGAGTCAAACGGAGCTTTAGAGTTTAAACCGACCAGAATGAACAAAATTGCTTCCTGCAAAGGCTGACATCCGTTTGCTCCTCTTTTATGTCTTATGGGAGGGGCCAATCATCTCCAAGCCTTCCCCAGACTCCAGGACTGGCCCACGTTCCTTCCCAACCTCCTCACTGTCTGACTCTGCTGCCAGCTCCGCAGGCCACCAGTGGACCACAACAATTCCCCGGTTTTACAAAATCGTGACAGTGGTTTTAATTGCCTGCAAGACCTCTTGATTCCTTTCACAAAAACCTCAGTACTGAATGCCAAGAAGTGCTCAGCAGAATAATTGAAATGCTGATAATTATTCTGATAACTAGTCTAATTGTCAAATGTGAATTTGATGTCATGCGGTGCTGTTAACCCCTTTGATCTTGAAACTGTTGAAAAGTACCCACACCCTTATGGTAATGCCCTTATTGGATATTTGAATTTAAGCAGGGTTTTTGTTAAAGGATGTGCTTTGGAGCATATACAAAGCACTACAAGAAAACTGATTAACTGGTAATACAACCCATTCCAAAAAGTACAGGTAATCCTTGACATATAATCACAATTGAGCCCAAAATTTCTGTTGCCAAGTGAGAGAGTTGTTAAGTGAATTCTGCCCCATTTTATGATCTTTCTTGCCAAAGTTGCTAAGTAAATCACTGCAGTTTTAAAGTTAGTAACACATTTGTTAAGAGAATCTGGCTTCCCCATTGACTTCCCTTGTCAGAAGGTTGCAAAAGGCGATCAGGTGACCTCAAGACACCACAACTGTCATAAATATGAGTCAGTTGCCAATTGTCTGAATTTTGATTACAGGACCACAGGGATTCTGGAAATGTTATAAGTGTGCAAAATGGTCACGTCACTTTTTCCAGTGCTGTTATATTTTTGAATGGTCACTAAATGAACTGTTCAAAGTCGAGGACTACCTGTTCTCAAAATGGCCTTAGATGCAGCTTAATACAGCTTAGCCTATAATCAACAAATGCTAATTAATATTAATTACAATTTATCAAGAAATATATTGAAATATATATTGAATAGGAAAGCCTCACCTTTAATTAAGCCATTTCTTAGAGAGAGAGAAAGACAAGAAAGAGAAAAATAGGATGTTTCCTGGCTCTTAAACACAGGTGAGAAACAGACACAGGGCCAATATGTGAAGAATGTTCCCCTTTATCTATTTCGTACCCTCATCAAAGGTACAAAAGATGATGCAAGTTCCAACCATTCTAATCAAGGTGGATTGAATATAATTTCCATATATGTAATAAACAGGAAAACAATAATCTTGAAAAATATAGTGGTAAACTTCTATTTCCTCAGGGAGGTTAAACATAATAGATTTGCACCAAATCATTTTTTTAAATGGGGAGTGGCTTGAACACTATGGGATTTGCATTGAGTTAGCTGTTATTATGGAAGATATCCAAGTTGACACTCCTATTTTTTTAGGTCACCACTCTAAACATGTACATGCATGTGCAAATGTATTGTTGCTGTTAAAAAACACGGTTGATATACTTTCCGCCCATCACTTGAATATAATGTTCCTCTAATTAAATCCAGAATTTAATTTGACACCTTAATCATGGATTCCATGCCTCTTTCACCAAGGATTTAGAAACCACTTACACAACTGCATGTAACTCCTGAACAAACCTAACTACCCAAGCTTTATTATACAACATAGAGCCCCGATGGCGAACCTATGGCATACATGCAAGAGATGGCACACAGAGAGGACTCTGTGTGTGCCGTCGCCCCAGCTCAGCCAGCTGGTTGTCAGATTTCTAAGGCACGCATTCATGCAGGCCAGCTGGTCATTGGGTTTCTGGTGCACGTATGCGCACACGTATGCGTGCACGCCTTCCGGTTTGGGCACTGTGTCAAAAAGATTCATAGAGCAATGATTCCATGACTGCTATTTGTCGTGATATATGAAATCTACAACAACCTGTTGAAATGTGCCCATTCCCCACTATGGACAATCTTGCCCTCCTGCTGAGTCTTCCCTACTTACCAAGGATTCTCAGGTCTCATTTATCTGTTTTGGGGCGTCTCCCTTTTCTGACTCATCAAGGCCTGGAGAAACCAATTTATTTATGTAAAGGCAGTGTTGTTTTGAAATCCCAGAAACTAATCTCAGGGGAAAATTAATACCAATGAATATATTCTGCTCCTTAATCAAGATGCCCATAGTTGGCACACAATGAGGTGTAGCTACATGACTTATCTGTATTCCTGATTACTTAAACACCCTTTTTTTTCCTTGCTCAGAATTACTCAGTTGACAAAACTTAGCTGAAATTTGCATAACAATGGCTGCATCATGTTGCAGCATATACTTTATTTTGACCCACTATGTAGGTCAACTGTGGTGAATGGCTTTGTTTTGTATATAATTGAGGTCATTGGAAGTATTTAAATATTATGGCTGTTCATAGGTTTAGCTTACTGGGAGTAACAGAAACAGCTTAAATACTGTTTTAAGGAATTCTGATCAGGATTGAATAAAAGATTGTCAGGAAATCTCAGGGTGGTAGATTAGGTTGGGAAGAGGGCTGAGGCAGTACCGAAAAAAGTACATGGATGTGAAGCTATCTTAGCATCATTTCTAACATCGCCAAAACCGAAAGAGTTAAAGGAAACAACATCTGCCTACATGCCTATTTACAATTGGAGTAAAGGTCATTGGCCCTTGGAATAATGGATGTGACCTGATCTGCTATCTCTCTCTCCCCCAGAATATGCATGGGCAAACACGTTGCACTCACTGATGTGCACTTCGGCATGTTTCTGCCCACCTTACAGAGCCAATGCACAGATGCTCAGAAAAAGAAGTGGCTGCCCCTGGCCTCCCGCTTCCAGATAATCGGCACTTATGCTCAGACGGAATTGGGGCACGGTTAGTTCTTTTCAGCAATATGGGTATTCCAATATAGTATTATTCAAATCTGCCTGGCAGTGGGTTTAGAGAATAAAGAGAAAGCAGGCAATCCTGGATCAAATTTAATGTGTTGATTAGAGCTGTTAGAGGGTTATCTACTATTTGGGTGTTACAGGTTCAAAGTCAATATGAAAGCTATTTGTGGGTTTTACGTTCTCTGCCTTGGACTTTTGTATATCATGCCCATAGCCCTTCCATTCAATCAGGTATTGGAACCGTCCTTTCAGCCATCGGGAATCCCGGATACTGGCAACTTCATACTCGGGCGGCTCCTCATCATCACAAGGTTCTGGCTGGGGATGATCTGGCTGGCAAGGAGAACAAACCAGCTGTTCAGGAACAAGGAGAGATCGATGAAAGACCGGATGGATTCGCATCAAACGTGGCAATGTCAGGAGATAGGCGACCGGATTCATGACTGCTTCAACAGGAAACGGGCCAAGGTAACGGTGGTCTAACTTCTTGGCCGGCCGGTCTGACAGAAGGTATCTAGTGGACAGCCACACTCGATCCCCCACAGTCAACACCAGCATTGCACGCGAGACCTGTCTGTGACTCTCTTATAGTCCTCCTTGGCTTTATCCAGATATTGTCGCTGCACTTGATGGACTGCCTGTAGTTCCAACAGAAAGGCCTTAGCTGCGGGGACTGGTGAGTTGATGGGTGTGAGGGGAAAGAACCGAGGATGATATCCTACATTGGCCAAGAAGGGCGTCGTCTGCGTGGATGTGTGCTATGAGTTATTGAACACAAACTCCGCCACTGCCAGGTAGTCCGCCCAATCATTTTGCTGCTGATTCACAAAACAGCACAGGTACTGCTCCAAGTTCCCGATCACTTTCTCCGTCCCTCTGTCGGTTTCTGGATGGTGCGCCAAGGACTAGCAGATTTTTACATCCAAGGCTTTCATCAGCCTTTCCAAAACTGGGCTGTAAATTGCGTTCCTCTGTCCAAGACGACCCTGTCAGGTAGGCTGTGCAGACTGAAAACATGTTGAATAAACATGCGGATGATGGCTGTTGGTAATCCCCGACACGGGATAAAATGTGCCATCTTCATCAGCATGTCTACCACTACAAACACCGTGGTAAATCTAGAAGACGGAGGCAGATCCGTCAAGACGTCCATAGAAATGCCCCCCCAGGGTCTCTTCGATGTCGGCAATGGCTAGGGCAGCCCTGGGGGGGGGGCTCCCATCATTGACTTGGCCTGCCGACACCATACACAAGACGTGGCATAAGATTGTATGCCATGTCGTAATCGGGGCCACCAGAAGGTATGGGAAACCAGGTTCAAGGTCTTGAAGAGGCCAAAGTGCTCCGCCACAGGATTATCATGTCACTGGGATAAAATAAGTCCCCGAAGTAGCCCCACTGGCACATAGAATCTGTTTTGGTACCGCAAGAGTTCATTGGTGAATGTCCATGGGGAAGCAGGCCCCACCTCTGCCTTCCGTTGTTCCACCCAATCGTCATGCCGCTGCGCTTCCCATATCTGAGGCCATAAGTTCACAGGCTCCTGAACTGCGGAGAAGGACTCTACAGGCAAAACTGTCCAGGGTAGAATCTGGTCTTTGGTACAAAAATAATCAGGTTTCCGCGAGAGTGCATCTGCTCTTTGGTTGTGCACACTGGGGATGTATGTCACACGGAAATTGAACTGTGCAAAGAAGAGGGACCACCGCATCTGGCACTGGTTCAATTTTCATGCGGTCTTCAAAAATTCCAAATTTCTATGGTCCGTCCGAACTTCAATTTGATGTCTGGCCCCCTCTAAATGATGCCTCCAGGCCTCAAACGCCACCTCATTGGCTAGTAACTCCTCCCAAATGGTATAATTGCACTTGGAAGAATTGAGTTTCTGCAAATAATAAGTGCAAGGGAAGACGGTACCGCCGGAGGCATGAGCCTGAAGTAATACCGCTCCAACAGTGATATCTGATGCATCTGCCTCCACTACAAACAGACGGTGGGGGTCAGTATGCTTCAAGATGGGCTCTTTCATGAAGGCCTGCTTCAAGGCCTGGAACACTTGTTGCTCAGGGGCACTCCAGTGAAACAGAACTTTCTTCTGAAGGAGCCGAGTGAGGGGCACAGTCAGAGAAGCAAAGCCGGGGATAAAGGTCCAATAATAGTTGGCAAACCTGAGAAGTCGCTGGACATCCTTCACTCGCTGAGGAGGTTCCAACTACGCAAAGACTCAATCTTGCCTGGCTCCATCGCAATGCCTTCAGGAGAGATACGATGCCCCAGGAACTCAATGGTGGACTGCCAAAACTGGCACTTCTCCAGTTTCGCATATAAGCGATTCTCACAGAGCCATTGTAGGACCAGGGGTAGGTGCTGCCAATGACTCTCTAGTCCCTGCTCTGACTCCAAACACCACGCAGACTCTTCCTCAGCCTCCAGGGCAGTCGCATAATGTTCATCGCAGTCAGATTCCACCAACAGCTCAGGCGGCCGCTGTTTGGCCACAACAACCTCTCATCTCACAATCAGGAGGCTGTCAGTTCGATCCTAGGTAGACTTGCCAGGCTGATGTTTTCTCTATGGTTAGGCAGCAACAAATAAGTTTGTACTGAAACTATATGCAGAGCAGCTCACATGCAGACTAAAGGCAATTTCACACATTGGAAACTATAAGCTACATGCTTATGTATTGAACAAGACACAAACAAGTATGATGGTGGCCGTCAGACACAAAGAATCAGGACCAAATGTTAAGGTCCAGTTTAGAAGATGTATTGTATCAAATCTATATACAAAAATCGAGGCAACTAAATTGGCACTAGATAGGAGTCATCAGAATTCAAGGAAAATTGGATTTGGAACATTTGTGGACACATAACAATTTTTTAGGTTGAGTCTCCTCTTGACTACACCCCCAGGCTCTGCCTCTTCTTCCTCGACAATAACACAAATAAACTAAAATGAATTGCTACCAACTGTCTAGCTGGTATGGTCCTGTATGATTTGCATATGGTATATTGAAACATGGTATACTGATAATTTGATCTAATAATGCCTTTGGACAGATGAGCTGACTGTAATAACATTCTGCTATAAATATTATGTTAAAATGCCTTCCTATGAACATGCACCATTAAGGAGTTTTTCTTTTCATTTAGAGTGGAATCGTGACTGGATAATTTACTTTTTGGAATCTTATTTTCTTGCTGTATTTTCTTTGCCAACTGTTTTAATGTTAACTGAAATAAAAGAGAGGAGACAATCTTGGCTCACTTCCTTCATTATAGTATATGTTTGTGGGGGAAATTCATTTATTATTATCCTGGCCATTTTTATATTGGAATCCACATGTTTTAGATATGTTTCACCTAAACGCATCTGAAAAGAATGAAAGCATTGGTTCCCAGGTCTTTTAATTTGATTGGCAGGAAATAGGACTTGTATTCATAAGTATTTGTTGAACCAATTAGCTCAATGGATATCAATTGGCAGAAAATTATCTAATACGGGATGAAGTAGAACAGAAACACCTATCAAGAAAGTTCTGTATATGGCCTTTTGTCTCATTTAGCTAATGCTCCTACATCAAGATGTGTAGTAGTGTGCTGTTCCTTTGAAAACATTCTTTTTTTTTTCCTGTCATCCCAAATTTAACAAAAGTGCTTGAATAGTATGCTGCATTGCAACAAAGCTAAAAATGTGCCTGGATGAAAAGAAAATGGCTCTGGTTTCCAAATGTGCTTTCTGCAATCAGTCCTTGGAGAATGATGCATATATAGTCTGGCTTGTTAGGTTAAATCAGGACTATTGATACCTCTTGAAAAATCTTTCGTTGTTTTGAATCAAAGCACCCATGAATTTAACAACTGCACCTCACAAGCATTACCACTTGAATTTTGGTACAAAGCTATGAACAGGCTTACTAGCTTTAATTGCTGATTCAGAGTACCGTTCTTTTCTTCTCAGAAGAACCTTTGAAAAATCATTTACAACTACAGATTGAAGCAACACAAGAAAGAGGATAATTGTAGTGTAGACTGGCATTGAATAAAAGCTTTGGAGTAATTTCTCTCCTCTCCCAAATTTGAATTGGATAAAGTTTAATTGCTTTGATTTCTTTGTGGAACATTGTTAACTGATTTGTTCCTTTTCCAATTTATGTACAGAAGCTAATATTCTCTGCTTATTTTCAATGTGTTTCTAGGAAACACAAAGACATTCTAGAATTTCTAGAATAATATTGCCTTTTATTAATCACCTGAAACCACTCCTCCTTTTGTGATCAAACAGAGAATCCTCTATCTTTTGGGTTGATGTAAGGTTCTGTAACTCTGAGGAAAGAATGGTGCTTTGATAAATATTCTTGCTTCATTCTGATTTATCACATTATTTTTGTGTTCCCTCTCCAATCTGCACCTCTAATCTCACCTGCTTCCACCTATAACATCCCTTCACATTCCCTTCCCTGGCATTTCTTTACAGCTACCTTCATCAAGGACGGCCTGAGCCTTTGGATATCCACCTGGGCATGTTCCTTCCCACACTACTAACCCAGGCAACCATAGAACAGCAGAATCGCTTCTTCATGCCTGCTTGGAACTTGGAGATCATTGGCACATATGCCCAGACAGAGATGGGACATGGTACAGTACTTCCAAGTCTTATTTCACAGGGTAGACTAGCTTTTGAAAAAGTACCAGCTCTGTTTCTTGATAGCCTGGGTCAGTGTTGACGAACCTTTTCATCACTGAGTGCAAAACAAGAGAGTGCAAGCGCGTGTGCTGGAAAGTGGAAGAGCAGCCGCCCTTCCCGTCGCATGCACAGGCTGGGAAGATGATTTTCTGGTTTCCGGTATGCACAGGCCACCTGGTCTTCTGGTTTCTGGTGCCCATGCTTCTCCTCTTAAGAAAAAGAAGGTGTTCAGATGGACATAGAGGCAGAGGTTTAGACAGCTTATTTGTTTTAAAAAAATGTATTGCCAAAGAGTCAAAGCACATTTCCCTTGATGTCTGAATACCTTATGGATGGCATACATAAAACAACATTCTAATTACACAAAAATGGGGTTTTTTTGCACTTTAGAAAGAAAGTAAACTTGAAGAATAACAATTAGCCAATGCTCCTGAGCAAGAGAAGTTATATACCTTCTGCTTTTTAAAACTATTTCAGCTTTCCTACTGGCCCAGATTAATTCAATCCTTAACTTATATACACTCATAAATTTTATGGGAAACATCTTGCTTCTCAAATGGTCATTTTTATTATATTTAAATAAAATAATACCTTTTGCAGGGCCACTTGGAATAATTTCTCTTCTGTAGACTTTCCTGCGCCTTCTGATATGCCTCTGACGTAAACTGTTTTGTCAGCTTTATGAAAAGGAGAAATTGAAGATGAATGTGGTAGACATCCAATGTTCATGTCTAAATCTAACTATTATCATAGAACCATACTTGTACGTACATATATACATTCATTCATTCATTCATTCATTCATACATACATACATAAGTTACGCTACAATCAAGAGAAAGAAGCCCTGGGGAGATTTCCACCTTGCTCCAGGACTGGTTCATGTTCTGAAGAAAGGGCTGAAATGTCATTCGCTCCAAAAATCAAGTGCTATCATGTTCTCCAAATTTATAAGACAAGTCTACCTATATGAATGCAAGATGATTTTAAAAGAAAACAAGAATCTACTTCAAACTTATAGTGAAATTTTTATTTTATTTTATATATATACACACACAAGTCAATATTATCGCCTGTGTTGGATTTTACTGCTCTGTTTGAAAATTCTGAATGTCGAACAGCAATCGGGATATTGATAGCTGCTACAGGAGGAAGAAAGTAAACATGAAGATCTGGGATTGAAAAACATTACAGAAGCAAATGTTGAACATTTTAACCTGGTTCTGAAGATTTTTCTGCAGGACAATATTTGGATTTCGAGAAAAAGCCATTTTTACCCTAAAGCTTTTTTGGAAAAGAATCATCATGGGACTCTCTTATTTGCTTTGTCAGATATCTAAAATATACAGTATATTTGCACATAAAGATAAATAATCAAGACAAATGACGTGCATAATTGTATAGCAATTTGACAGCATTCTTACATTAATAGGGCAATTAATAGAAGGTGTGCATCCACTGTTTCATGCATGCTTTTCTGGTAATGTTTTTGCTGTTAACATTATGTAAATGTGCATTTGCAGGCAGTTTTCCCATTTGCACTGCTTGGCTTTACATTGCTAATGAAGTTTGTTGAAATAAATCTAATTATGTATGTTTGTGTTGAGCTATGCAACTGTTGAAATAAAATTTGCTACCTGCCTACAGGAACCCATCTCCGAGGCCTGGAAACTACTGCCACCTATGATCCTGCTACCCAGGAATTCATCCTTAATAGCCCAACTGTGACTTCTATTAAGTGGTGGCCAGGTGGATGTAAGTGTATTATTACACAATTAAAGCTAAAGGAAGAGCTGTTGTTTTTTTCCTTTAGACTTTCTAAGTGTGGAGACCATTAACTATTGATATGTTTTGAAACATAACTTTGGCTGCATAATATTTTTGACTATTCTGTACTGTAGTAAGTATGAGTAAAAACTCTGGTTTCTGTTTTAGGGCTAAACCGTATAATCAACATAATAAAATTAACATTGGTTTTATTAGCTTAATATAGTATAGACCTCAGACAAAATTAAATGTTTCTGTTTCACTAATTTTACATATTCCTCATTTAATAATTCTGCATATTCTTTATTCCTTCTATTTCATTTCAGCTTGGGAGTAAAAGGAAGTGGTTTTACATCATAAAATCTACAACATGTAGATGTCTGTATTATTATTTTTGAGATCAACATGTACATAAAATGCTTATTGGACTGTACAAATAAATTTCTACCTACTAAGTTGTCTTTTCTCCCCCTTCTTGCAGTGGGCAAGACATCAAACTATGCCATTGTTTTGGCTCAGCTTTATACCCAAAACAAATGTCATGGGTTACATGCTTTTATTGTGCCTCTACGTCAGTTGGGAACCCATGAACCACTACCAGGTATTAAGTCCATCACTACTATGTTACTACCCTTTCTCAACTAAGGTTGTGTGAGAGACTGGTAGGGATTCCTTGAGAGATTGCGTTTTAAAACCAACAATGTTTTTTTTAAACTGTGCTTTCAGTTGTGAGAATTTTCACACATCATGATTCAGCTGCTGGCTTGGTGCTTTGCTATTGTCGTAATCATTACACATTGTGTAGGTTAGAAGTGAACAGCATTTTGAAGTTTTCATGGTTTTTGCCATTTTTATACAGGGGTTCCTTGAAATCTGAAAATTATTTCAAGGTTTCTTCCTGGGTAAAAAAAGGTGGAGAAAGTCTGCTCAAGTGAATATTTAGCATATTTGCAGATATTTATGTTGCCAAATTAGCTGCCATATAAATGAATCACAAACTCCATACTGAAACAATATATGATGTCCAATGTGAAACATTTGGCACCACAAATCTTCAAAGGCTACATCGTGTTGGGAAAAATTGAACATAAGGAAGTACTTGCAGTCCTCAAGTAGATGATATAAAGGAAGCAATGTTCATAAGAAAGCAAAATATACATACAGTGCTGTAGTTTTTCAGTTCCATATTGTAGCATACCAAGGATAATTTGTTTTTATAGTTTAAATGATTACAATTGTACATATTAAAATTCTTTAAAAGCCCTGACTTATAATTAGCGGAAGTTACCAAACTAGATAGAGACTTTTTCAAAGAGCAATAAAAAGTTTTCCTTAAAGCATGTTATTAGCAGTACAAGAATAGTTTGTAAAGAATATGGAACCTAAACTACCATGGTGCGATTTTGAAAAGGGGGAAATGTTGCTGAACATAATCCATTTTTACAACAATAATCCTTATCCATTAGATTTAATTTGTCATAATTCATGTAAAGTTCAAGTAATATTAAAATTCCCTAAAACTGTGTGTCTTAGCCCATGCTGTAATGATAAAATAAAGTTGTATCTCCTTTTCACATTTGATGTCAAGAACTTTGAATCTCAGTGAATTAGGTACGGTTAGGTAAGAACCCATAGCCAACTCAGTAGGGAAATCTTCCTCTACATTGATGAATGGATAGAGTTTGAAAACTCACTCCTAACTGAAAATCACAGCCAGGACATAGTTTTGGAATTGGCATCATAGGTACTTCCACCATTCAGCACTTTGAACTAATGCTGGAAAAATGATACTTTATGAACATCCCCCCACCAATTCAATTTTGTATTAAGAATATTAAGAACCAAATAAATTTATTTGGCTTATTCTGTTTGCAGGCATCACCATTGGTGACATTGGCCCAAAATTTGGTTATGATGACATGGATAATGGCTACTTAAAAATGGACAACTTCCGTATCCCTCGGGAAAATATGCTAATGAAGCATGCCAAGGTAAACAGCGGGTCTTGTTTTGTTTCTGCTATTTATCTACGCCAGCTGTTCAGACAGCTTGCAAGAGAAACTACCCAAAGTCAGTGTTTCAAATTCTCAGGAGGTAATTGATCATCTGATAGTCAAAAGCAATCCCCAAGTTTGTGTTAGAATGGGAATGATGACATTGGCTTCACAACATGTGCCAAGCAAGAGATAATTAGCAAAATGGATTTATGCAAGCCTATTAATTTTACATTATTTACCTGTTACTTCATGTCAGTGATGTCCAAAACATTCATTTATAACACCAATGAATAGGAATTACTTCTAAAATATTTTTGACTAGGATCCTAACAAGAAATTTTTAGTGGATTCAGTGACACAGCACATTGTTGATTTTTATAATCTTACAAACCATTACTTGGTGGACAAACTCTTTCCACTTTCACTATTTTATTCTGCTAGGTTGAACCAGATGGCACATATGTGAAGCCTCTCAATGCTAAGCTGACTTATGGGACCATGGTATTCATCCGTTCAATTATCGTTGGAGATGCTGCTCGCAGTTTAGCCAGAGCTTGTACAATTGCCATCCGCTATAGTGCTGTGAGACATCAGTCTGAGTTAAAGCCTGGGTAAGAAGCCTGTATTAATATCTCTAAGGTCAGTTTTCGTAATGCCATAACAATTGACACCCCCCTCCCGCTACCTTGCCCATAACACTTTTGTCCATGAAAAAATGTGTGTGACCTCTTTAAAAAAACCAAAGGTTTGACTTTCAAGACAAGTATTCTTGGGAAATGCAGTTGACAAGAACAGTGTAGAAAAGCCCAGCGATGACCTTGGAGAAGATGTGCAGGATCTATTTGCAAAACATGAGCTTGAGGAAAACCACTAAGTATAAGAAACAAACTTGTCTTCCCTTAACTCTCTTTGGTATAATAGGAAGGAGGGAAAAAACCCTGTCAGACCTCCAAGGTTCTACTATCCTAAATCCTAGTATATCTTCTAGTTCTTGGCCTGACTTACTTGAACATCTAACAAACAGAATTTTCTGGTAAATTATGCTAATCAATTTTAACATCCAATGTGGATTTTGTGAGTCAGAGAAATAGTTACTTTGTAAAAAGAAAAAAAAACAAATTTCTCTTCCCCTCCCCCTAACAAGCACACCCTTTAAAAAAAATATTTTGGCTACAAGCAGTTGAATCACAGCTGTTGTCAGGACTAGCCCTATATTGGGAATCATTGTTACTGGGGAATCTGCAAATTTGTGATGATATAAAAGGAGCCAGGAGATGGTAAAATAGCTGCATGGCAACCACAGTATAAGCTACAATGAGTCAGGAACTGTAGCCATTTGTTTGCAATTGTCGTTAAATTAATATCCTAAACTATTTCACTATTTCCATTTTTTCCTTCCCTCTCGCTTTTGGACCTTGCCTGTATTTTGCTAGTTACTCTTTTGTATTTTGGGAAAAAAATAAATAGTTTTATTGGCCACATATTGGACCAAGCCAAGATCACTTTTACAAATAAGTATGTTTATACTTTAAATGTATATGTTATCAGAATATACCATTAGGACAGTGTAAGTCTTTGGTTTTTTTCCATTACTATGGAATTAAATCATAGCATTATAGTGGTTTAGTTCTCTTTTTTATTTGCATTGTTACAGGGAACCAGAACCTCAGATTTTGGATTATCAGACTCAGCAGTACAAACTCTTTCCTCTCCTAGCAACAGCATATGCTTTCCACTTTGTTGGTTCGTATATGACAGATACATATCATCGCATCACTGGGAATATCCAGGATGGAGACTTGAGTGAACTGCCAGAGGTGGGGCTCGTGATCGTACAAAACACTAAATTTTACTATTAACATTTACGGTTTAGTTTGTTCTTTCAAGATAATGGAAAATTATCTTGAATTTTCCCAAGAAAATTCCTGGGAGGGAACAGAATCAGGAAAAAAAAAAGATTGGAGGACTATGAATATCACAGATACATTCTTAGGCACGATTGATACTGTCTCAGTTTAAATCCCTTTGTCTTCCTCAGCTAAATTGAATTCAAGATGGCGCCAATGGCAGCCTCGGTGAAATGCTCACATAATTTTGTTGTTTTTTACAATTTATATTGTTTACTTAGTATTCTAGTCAGAGGTGGGTTGCCAATTTTTTTACTACTGGTTCAGGCGCACTCACAACGCTTCGTCGCATGTGTGGAAGTGTCCGGGCAGGTGGGCAGAGCCGCCCGCCACTGCTAGTACCCTCCTAGTATGATTTATGTTGATTGCTTGTTTAGTATCCATAACTATTATCACTAAGTGTTGTATCTAATGTTTTATGATAAATGTATTTTTACAATGACTTTGATAATGATCTATCACTATTGTTGTAAGTACACTGAAAGCTTATGCACTAGAGACAAATTCCTTGTGTGTTCAATCACACTTGGCCAACAAAGAATTGTAATTCTATTTCACCTTTGTGGAATGTTCTTGTAATGAGAATGAATGAGAGAGATAAACTCACTACTGGGATGAGGACCACTAGACCACTAGAGCCGAGGTGGCGCAGTGGTTAAATGCAGCACTGCAGGCTGACTGCTAGATCAGCAGCTCAGCGGTTCAAATCTCACCGGCTCAGGGTTGACTCAGCCTTCCATCCTTCCGAGGTGGGTAAAATGAGGACCCAGATTGTTGTTGGGGGCAATATGCTGACTCTGTAAACCGCTTAGAGAAAGCCCTATGAAGCGGTATATAAGTCTAACTGCTATTGCTATTGCTAACCTGCAATTAAACGTACAAATAGCATGATTCCATACAGATTCCAAAAGCCTATATTTCTTGCGTCATTGAAAAAAAAATCTAAACAAATTTCACTTTTACAAAA